GAATGTAACCGTAACTTTGTACACCTTCCAGAAATTTTGAGAAGGAACTTTGCGGAAGGGGAAAACTATATAATATCGGAGACAGCATAGGTTCTCAGATTTTAGTGTAGAGCTGAATTTCGAGTACTGAGATATCTCCGTACAAGCCTCGCTCTCTAGATGATCTTTGCATTGCGTGGGGTTTCGTATTCTTAGTAGTTTGAAGTGATAACTACTGATTGTACTCTGTCATATTGAGACGAGTATTTTTGTGAAAAGGTCCAGAACTGTAAAGTGTTTATTTTAGGAAAATAAATTTTACTAAGCTATACATCGTCTCTGTTTATATATATATATATAATATATAATCCATTACGATCCCATACACTCGAAGCAATACTTAAAACTGTAAAAAAAAATCGAAATAGGAAAAGAACTTATAATCTGATCTTGAATGGAAATTTAACACCCGAAAAAATTTTAAGTTGAGCAGTTACGGTTTTTTTACAGGCGTACTAATTTAAGAATTTATCTCTTGAAAATTAAAGATATAGAACATAAAAGTTTGTAATAAAAATGAGGCGATAAAAATGGCAGAACCAAATGGTAGAAAGAAAAATTCTATTATTAATTTAACTCCATAAGAAGAATTATGCACTTTTTTAATAAAGAAAAGACTTTGTTATTCAAAACGTTGTTGTGTGTTATTCAACACGTCGTTGTGCATTAATTTCACCGTAAAGCTTGCATATGATGCTTGTAACAAATATTTCCATCAAATGGCAATAATTTTTGTTTTACTGAGACACGAAATCCGCGAATTGAAAGCAATAAATACTTCAACGACTTTTCTGTCAAAGTGTTAGAATTATGTTTGTCAGTATTTAAAAAATAATTTGTAATAGAAATTATATTTGTCACTCTTTTTAAGATAAGTATCATAGGCCTTAAATAATTTAAATTCATTAAAGCCCTGAATTCGTTATAAACGTTTCTATTGTATAAATAATGTATAATGTATTGGTTGTCAATATATAACATATTATTGATCTTATTATCTTTGTTCGGTTTAGCTTGAACATTTGTAAAGAAAACGCTTTTCTTAATGAAACTCAATTTTCTTTTAGGGTAGTTTCCGCACATGGATTCAGATTTGATTTTTATTTGATTCGAGCACAAGGATAACACGCGTGTTTCACTCACGTTGATTTACACGTGGCCCTAATGGGTGCATTATTATAGCTGGGTACAGATGTTAGTTCAGAATTGTGTTTTTATAATGGTGTGTGTCGTATAGGCTTAAGAAAGAAAAGACCTTGAATAGTATGTTTCCTGTAAATAAAGACGGTCGTTGAAGCGGTGCCAGAGATGACAATAACAGTCGGATAAATACATAGGGCGAATAAAGAATCAAGAGTTAGCATACTGAAATTGTGAGTAACGCAAATTTTCGCGTGGCCTTGTTCCATAGTAAATAACTGATGTCGTTCCCTACTACATAAAAGCGCGTAGGTTCAAGTCTTTCTTAAGCTAAAGACGTAATAACTTTGCCGAAGTTCCTTGCAAAGTGAAATTCGTTTATTGCATCTTGTAAATATAAATAAAAAATTGTATTTCTAGAGCATTTTTTTTTTCTGAAGGCTAGCATTTTATTTTTAGCTTTTAAAAGGGAAGCACATGAAGTTGAATCACTTTCTTTTAAAATCCACTAGGTGAAATCGACGAGCTTGTTATGCTTATAATTTACTTGTAGGCGATAAGATAACCGTTAAAGCAAAATATATTCCTCATCATTATTGAATACTTTTTACAAACTTTGAAGAATTCGTAAATTTCAATTCTTCGAAATCTGACAAATACAGTTAATGGCTTTAATTTCAGTTTTCTACTCTAATTCCCTTTCATTACTACATTAGACCCCCCTACCACCACCAGTTTGAATAGAAGAAGCTAAGTGTTCCATATAGAATGTTATAAAAATTAGAGAATAAACTACATAGAGAAAGAAACTGATCAAAATATAAACCTGTTCTCTTTTTAGGTTACGAAGGGAGGTGATTTAATTCATACAATTTCATAGCAATAATTTAGATTTGGTTAGATTTTTTAAGAAAGTTTAATTACCAAACACTTTTAATTAGAATCGCTGCCCAGTCGTGATGTTTTTCTTTAGATGATGAGCTTACTGATTGTAACATATCGAAAATTATCTTTCCCAGTTATTCTTATACTATCCGCTGATGTGAATATTATGTATAAAATTTTCAGGAATTTCGAGGGGGGGGGAAACCAGCAGGCTCGTGTGCTATTCGAACTATACTGATTATCAAAAACGTATGAACTTGAATCGTACTGATAATGTATCCCATTGGCTCCAATGGACAAGCTAATTTTGGCTGTGACTTTAGGAGCAATGGATCTATTTCATAAAAGAACGCGGCCGTAATATTGAAAGGAGAGGGTGAATAACCACGCTTTTAAGGGGAGAAAATTAACCAAGTATTTCGTTTATTTTTGTGAAATTAATAGGATTTTTCAGAACTCTGAGTTGCATAAAATGAATAGAAATTTAGCTCTAAATGATCATTGGGAAATAAGTTGAGAAAACAACGCATCGAATGTTTGGACTCTGATTATTGTCGAAACGGATCGAAAAAGGAGGGGCATTTTTAATTTAATTATGGTAAGTCTAATACTAACCAGTGGAGTGTGAGCAGAAAAGGATAATCCAAAGCAGCAATTGCATGTCTCGAACTCTTACCATGTTAATGAACTATCAATAGTTAGGTAATTTCTTATTTTATACCTTATAGCTTTGCGCGCCTCTAACGAGCACGCAACCAAGAGGTGACTGTGAAAGCTTGTATAAACCACAGAGTCTTATAAAGGGTTTAAGTCCCTTTTTATTCAACGTACTAATTTACAATTGCGTCCTCTTGACGCTTACAAACTTTGCCAACTAGGCAGTCAAAATAAATAACCTGAAAAGAAAATAAAGACAAGATTCTAACTACGAGGCTCTCTAAAATAACTAACTCACCGCGTTTTACAATACCGCAGCTAATTCAGCAGACTTGAAGCTCACTGGAACATTGCAACTACTTCCCGCCAAGCACATAGGCCGCAACGCGGGGTTCTTAATTCTCGATTTCTACCTCCGCGCTCGCGAAGTAAGTAAGAATCTCGCTCTCCGAACTTGTTTCCTTCTATTTAAATACTACTACTTCGCTGATAATTTGAATGCTTGCGCGTTCTACTCAAATTTACATATTCTGGCATTGGCAGTTCCAGGGGAAAGTAAGGCTTGACAGGAAAGATAGTTTAAACTTAAAATAAATGTTAGTTAAAATAAATATAAACCCTACAACCTAAATCCCTCGAACTGGGAATAATTATTAGTTTTACAATCAGTTTCGACGGAGGTTAGTGCCTGTGCCCGTGTATGCTAGTGATTACACCATTCAACCCTTTGTGTCATACTAATTCTTTCCATCTGTCAGTGTGGAACTGAAGTTTGAACTATGCTGTAATTCGGAATAAAAATTCCAAATTACAGTGTTCTTTGGAACCGCAATTCGTAATTTTCATCGGTCCATCGAGCGTTTGCCTGAAGCTATAACTACCATCAACTTGAATGAGAAAGGAACTGCAAAATACCACTGAAGGCCAGCAAAACAGTTATCACCACTAGAGATTGTGGAATGTATTTTTTTATTTTTATTTATTTATTTATTTTTGTGCGATTTCATCATGTGTTACAAAACAAACCTAATAGTTTGCTCAGTTTATGTTGGGTTGTCTGACAGTTTTTCAGGATTATTTTGAATAATGGTATTTCAACCATATTGTAAGCGCAGAGTACAATAGAATGAGTTAAATCATTAGGAGAAAAAGAGTTCTTTCATTTCGATAAATGTTTCGAATCTCTTTACATTGCAGGATAAATACTCATAAAAGTTAATTATGATGATTAATGATCAATGTGATTTTTGAAGGTAAATGAGTGTAGATCTAAGCTGAGATTGTACTGCGAAATTTTTCGTTATTGATTTGTAATAGAACCTCATTTTCAGTAGCGATTTTCGAAGGGCACCTAACTTGTTTACAATCCATATCGTATTGAATTATTAGTATGTTCATTTACACGCGTTGTAAACTGTTCTAATCACCTATGGCAGCGAAAATGCTGAAGGAAAATATTATATTCGGCATCACATAGCATATGATTATACTTGGCTTAGGTATAATATTATGCTGTGAGATGAAAAATTCCTAGCAGTTAAGTTAAATTTGTTTAACCATTTTACTAATTTTAATTTAGTTGAAGATCAGTTTTCAGATTTCTTTATTTCCTTTAAAAATTTCTAATTATTTTCTATTATTAAGCCTTTTTATTATTAACAGTCCTGCTATAATTTTGACTTTCAATTAATGGCAACACGTTTTTATAAGTTTGTTTTGGTTTAAAGAGGGAAGTAGAAAAAGGCGGGAAATTTTGTTTTAATAATGGAAACTGTTGTAGGATGCCCCGATCGAAAAGATTCATAGGTTGTAGTTTATTTCACTATGCAGTTTTCCCAAAAAGTTATTTTTTTCTCAATTGCTGTAATTGCGTCTGTATTAGATTTGCATTTTAAAGAATGCCCAACTTTATTTTGTAGTGATATCTGATGCATAATCATTAGAACTTGCATTTCTTTTTCATTTTTCTTTTAGACATAAAGTTTATATGTATGAAATGTTCTACGTAAATAAGTATATGGTGAATGTTTGGCATTTTGATTTTAATAATTAAGTATTAAATTAATAATTCTAAGTATTGTTTACCTTCTGTCTGTAGTCTATATCGTAGTAATTAAAAGAATTATTATATTTGAAGTTATGCTTTTTAATCGTCTATTTTATTTGAGCATGATATAATATCTAAATGTACTTTTGTAGTAATGTTTTTTGTTGATTGGATTTCATTCATTTGTGTTTTCTGTATACTTAGCATTTCTAATGCTTTTTCTTTCTTTCAGAGATTTTCTAAGTCACAATCTGTATGTTGGGCTGGGATGTAGGATACGTATGGCCATTGCTGGAAGGTGTCGTTCTGACCCAAACAAATCGGCCTCTTGATTCTTGGCAGTTGGTCATGGGAAATCCCCATGAAGCCCTCCGGTCAAGTTCTGCTTCTGGAGAAACTTCAGCTCAGCAGCCCAACAGGGACCAGCAAGGCCAGCCTAGGGTGGCTGTGCCAGAAACTGATCCCCCACCATATGATAGTGTAGCTAATGAAACTACAAGTTTCAGAGAGTTGTCCAGTAGTGGATCTTCTGTTAGTCAGCATCAGAATGCTTCAAGGGAAGCATCAAATGATAACCGGAGTCGCAGTCGGACCAATGCAAATAATCGAGTCAGAAATAATAATGGATCCATTCAACGGATAAGACCTCAAAAATGGCCCCATAAAGCTTCATCTGTGTTTGCTTGTTTAAGCTGTGTCATTGGTTTATGTAATGTGAGCAGGTTCTCTATGCTTGTATATATTTATAAAGGTAATTAACTTTCCATTCACAGTTTATAAAGGAAATAGTTAATGCTGAATCATAGATTACTCTATTTAATTGTACATGACATTTTCATTTCAATGAATTTTGCTGTAATACTGTAATTGTAAATTACTTAAATTGTAAGTAATAAATTACAGTTTGCTGTTAAAATCAAACCTTTATTAAAATTCCATTGTTATTGTAGTTTTAAATTAGAATTTCTTCAATAAGTTTTTAAATAACTCTCTTTCATATACTTTTTGAAAATGAGCATCTCAAAAGAAGTATTTTTCTTTAAATGCAAAAATTTGCTTGAAATATCATGAAATTATGTTTCTCCATTTAGATTTTTCTGGTATTAATTGACTTAGTCTCAGTTTAAAAGGATATGGATAAAACTAATCAGCAAGCTGTATTATTTTAATAATATTGTTTATGAAAATAAGTCTAATTATACTTTCTTTCATCAAATTGCATATTAAGTTTTATTTAAAAATTGTATTCAACTTCTTAAATTAAATATAGATATATACAGTCAAAAGTCGTTAATTCAGACACCCATAATCCGGAATGATCTATAATCCGCACCACAAAGCTAAAAACTTCATGCGTCGTGTTGACGCATGCGCGTAGGCATTTACGTGTGCACGTAAGAACTTTACGGCTGGGAATATGTGTGTGCGCATGCGCGTTTAATGTATAACGGACGGTATAAGCTAAGTTAAAATGATCTAATTCAGCTAATGTTGCAGATTGCGTTGTTACTTAATCTTCGAATTGGATCCGGCTTATTATTTGTTGCAGACTGTTAGAGCAATTTTATAAAAGTAAGCTTGAACTTTCGATTATGTCAAATAGAATTTCCGATATATATTTACTAATATGTAAAGGATCTACAAAGCGAAAGTATGTTTGGAAGTCCATTAAACAAAAAGTGGAATTGCTGCCAAAAATGGATAAAGGCATAATCCTTTGTTTATCTAACCATTTCGAAATCTGTTTATCAATTTCACGCTGCTCTGCGAAAACGCTGCGGCGTGCAATGAATTGGAAGTTGATCTGTCAGCACTATCCTTATCTTCAGGGCAGATGTTTTTATTTTATTTGGCTTATAATTCCTTACTAAATGTAGTATTTCATCTCGATGTACTTTGATATGATTTAAATCAAGTTCCTCGTCATTATAATTTGCTTCCGATAGTGAAGAAAGTGACGCTGAGGTTATTGAAAACGAAAAAATTTCGATTGACAAATTAGTCGGAATTCTCGACTAGGCAATTATAGGACTTGAACAGTGGAACTTTGTAACTAAACAAGAAATTATGTCTGTTTAATAGAATTAAAGAGAAAGTATTATCACATGAAACGAAGCAACTTAACTTACATTGAAGGAAATGTTTAATAAAGTAAACAAATAAATATTAAGCTTTTTCTTTTTGTAAATTTTAATACCCTTTAGATCATAAATGTTCTTTATTTCATAAATTACGGTTTCATATTTTTAATTTTATAATTTCTGCATGCCATCTTACCAGATTTAAACTGATGATCTATAATCCGGAAAAATCGATAATCCGGAATCGCCGAAGTCCTGACGAGTCCGGATTAACGACTTTTGACTGTATTGTGTTTATGAAAACACTGCTATCTGTATATGTGCATGTGTTGTATATCTGCATCAATGAAGAGCTAGAGGTCAGGCGATTAATACACCATTGCCAGTTGGCTAGCAGATTACAGCAGTGTTAGCTTTCATTCAAACAGGCTGTGTCACATATACTCAGTGAGTATTACAGCAGAATAATGGTTGTGATTGAGATAGTGGATACAGTTTCTTCGTTTCTTCCCCCAATTGGATTATACAACAGAAATCCACAAGTGTGGTTGTTTTCCATCATACATTTTCAAATTGCCTGGTTTCTTGCTTTAGCAATTTGATTTTAATGTGCAATGCAATTTGTTGTTTTGAAAATGGATTTTGAATCAGTTGGGATTCATGCACTAACCTAGTGCTTCGCATTAGAGAGTAAAGAACATTAATGTCACAAAAATATACTTTTATTTACACAGCAAAAGTGCACAGCAACATACTTAATGAAAAACTCGTTCTCTTAAAACATACTTTTTTTTCTAGACTCAGGTAGTGCATGCGCATTGACAAATATAAAAGGAGCTTGGCAGATACTGTCATCTGTTGGATAAACTATTTGCTACAATGTTATTTTCAAAGCTCACAGATGTCTATATTTTCCATATAATACAGTGCTTGAAATGCCTATGTGTATACATTTATTTCACAATCCTATAAAAGTGCCATCTTTTTGTTGTTATTTAGTGTTGGTAGGTATAATATGCACCACCTTGCATTTGGCTAACTTAATATTTAATTCGCAACATTTAATGATACTGTGAAATGCAGAATCTGCTCTTTAACTATTAATTATACGTTACAATTTAACCATAACTGGGTTTTTGAACACTTGATTGCTTTCTGCTTAATTGCATTTTTTTGTTTACCTAAAGCAGTTTCTTTACAGCCAAAGTTACGGTTTTAGGTATATGAAATAATGCAGTTAAGTAAACAGTTGGAAAGTAAATTTAGAGTTCAAAAGTCCAGTTACAGATAAACTGGCTCAAATATCTTAATGATAATAATAATACAGTCAAAAGCCTTTAATCCATAATCCAGAATACATCCATAATCCGGAATGATCTATAATCCAGACCTCAAAGCTACAAACTTTCTGTGCTTACGCATGCTCATGTGCATTTACGCATGTGCATAATACGTTTATGCATGCACTTTTAATGTATAACGGACGGTATAAGCTAGGCTAAAATTATCTAATTATCTATTTCAATTAATGTTGCAGATTGCATTTTTTCTTAATCTTCTAATTGGATCCAGCTTATTATTTTTGCAGACTGTTAGAGCAATTTTATAAAAAGTAAGCTTGAACTTTCGATTATGTAAAAAAGATTTTTCAATTCTAGAGCTGCCAAAGCATCTACAAAGCGAAAGCATGTTTCGATGTACCTCTTCCGATAGTGAAGAAAGTGACAGAGAGGTTATTGAAAACGAAAAAATTTCGATTGACAAATTAGTCGGTATTCTCGACACAGCAATTATAGGACTTGAACAGCGGAACTTTGTAACTGATTAAGAAATTATGTCTTTTTGTAGAATTAGAAAGTATTAGCACATAAAACGTAGCAACTTAAACAACTTACATTGAAAGAAATGTTTAATAAAGTAAACAAATAAATATTGTAAATTTTGATACCCTTTAGATCATAATTGCTTTTTATTTCATAAATTATGGTTTCATATTTTTAATTTTATAATTTCTGCATGTCATCTTACCAGATTTAAACTGATGATCTATAATCCGGAATCGCTGAAGTCCCGACAAGTCCGGATTAAAGACTTTTGACTGTAATAACAAACCATGAAAAAAAAAAAAGAACTCTCTCTGCATCAGAGCTGGATTATTTTAGTGCCTTCACATATGTTTACACCAGTTTTTCTTCATTCTTTTTCTCACTCTTGGTTTTGGTTCAACAGCACCTTGCATTACATGGTAAAACTGGCAGTGTCAAGTGTTTTGGTGTCCCTTTTTCTGAACATATAAGGACCTTTTTGTAGGGCCCTCTTTCCCTATAAGCACATGCTTAATGGTTAATTGGTCCTTTTCTGCATTCCTACACATTTACTAATAATGATGGATATCATTCCGCTATTGCTTACCTTTCTGTATGTTTTTGAGCATTTTATAGAAGATCATGTCTGATGCCATTTTTTTTTCTGGTTCCCATCTGTAATGACATCGTAATTGATTTTTTAATGGTATGTCTTTTAATTCTGTTGATTGTTGTAGCACTATTAATTTGCAGTATATTCTAATTATTAGCATCCCTGTCAACAAATCGTGAATTCATTTCTGATTTTGGATGGTAGTCAGGAATTTATCAGTGATTAATTTTTTGCTAAGCTAATGTACCAAAGATGAACTATTTTCAGAATTGTGATGCACCATTAAAGATCAATCAATTAAGCAAATTTAAAAAGCAAGCAACATCACTAATAAAACAGTTTTTTTTTTTTTTGGAAAACTCTTGTGTATTTTTTTTTTTTTTTTTTTTTTTGTGGTGGTGTTTTTTAGCATATACAAATGAATCTCTTTTTGCTAAAGAAAAAGCCCCCAAAATAGCACAAATTGTCGTCATGTAAAACTTAGGCATTGCGCACTGACCAACAGTAAATAAAGCAAATAGCTGATGAAAACAAGATTTACAAGATAAACAAGAGATTTGACAATCATCAAATCAAGTTCTGAATTGCATTCGAATACTTTGCTTGCAATTTTTACTGTGGTTGAAAGGTTGTTTACTGTATTCTAAGGTACTGTGGTGTAACCACCTTGGTGATTTTTTGAAGAAGAAAAAAAATGGTAGTTTCAAACCATAGAAAGTTATTTATTTCATATCATACTTGTTATTGTGTACATATTTTAATTTCAGTTTGATATTTATCCCGAAAAACAAGTTATAAAACTAATTACAGATCGTGTCTCCCATCTGTAATTATCCCAGACTACCAGAGTCTTACCGGCTATTTTTAACTCTTCCTAGCAAAATTTAACGCTCATTAATTCTTTACTCCAGCAATATAGAAATCTGCTGTAGTAAATGGGTGATTACTATTTGTGAACCAGTTAACGTTTCGAATTTCAAATGTGTTCATTATTCTTTTTCACATTGCATTTCCAAAAAAGTTATTTTCCAGAATACAACATCATCAAATGTGAATCTGAATATTCCTGCCTTTGTGGTAAAATATATTCCTGCAAAAATTTCATAGAACTTTCTTTGTTTGCAGGCGAATCACGCAAGCATATATCTCAAAATTCAACCAAGAACTAAAAATATCACAGTTTGCCTTTAGAACTTCTAATACGATGAAAACAACATGCATGAAAATAGTTACCACAGTTTGGCGACTTCTAGCAAGGTGGTTGCGATAATAAAGTACCAAAGTACCTTTTAAACATTGTATTTCCATAAAATTTGGTCATTTAAGAAATACAACCTCACAGAATGCAAATTTTTGCATTTCTTGTTTTGCACAAAATGCCATATTTTTCCAGAAATATTTTCATATTCATCAGTTGACAAACTCCATTTACACTTAATTATAAGATAAACAAGTAAACTCAATTCAAAAAGAATGTTGTTTAGAAAAATTAATTGAATTTTAAAAGTGCAAATGATACTTTCTGATTATTCACACTCCCAATTTCAGCTTACTGTAGAATTGCCTGTTTTTAGTATATTTTCATATATACATGCAATAATAAGTAACCTTTGCATATGTATATCATATAGCTGTTTGAGTACATGTGGATTTATATGCTTTATATTTAGTGGTAATTTTGCAATATGGCTATAACAATTTAAACATTTACTGCATTGGTTTTTGCTTATTCTCATAAAATTTATTTCTTTTCTTCTTATTATTTCTAAACAGAGCAGTATGTATGAGACGTAAGATAGCCAAACAAATGTTTTTAGCTAATTTACAAAATTGCGGGTCTTTTATAGGGCTGTAGATAATCAAAAAGTGCCTAATTTGCTAATGATGTTCTTGATGAACATTCGAATTTGATTTCTTAAAGAAACTCCCATATGAATTCCACATACTCTTAAAGTTCTGTATATAAAAAAGAAGAAACTAGTTGTCTATCAGTTATGTAGTTACTTTGGATGGATGATTCAGTTTTGCCTGAGAGTTGTGTTTCTTGAAAACAAACAATAAGTTGCAAAAATTAATTTCATTTGTTGACATCAGTTATAAAGAAAATTACTAGAAAAAGTCCTTTTTACTAGTAATTTCGTTCTCCTGATGAGGAGAGACCTGTAGCTGCCCTCGAAATCGATTGAGTATTTTAATAAATGTACGCGAAATACAAGGTTGTTATTGCGATTTTGATTAAAAATGTCTGTTTACTTTTCAAATTATTGCCACCAGATATTAACGTGGTGTGTTATATTTAAAGAATTTAAATAATGAAGAATCTGCACAAATGTATGTATGTTTCTTGCTGTTGTGATAAAACAACGGTACATAGAGCCATCAAATTTTGAATAATGTATGTTTCCACCTGAATATGGGCATCTATGTGGAAGCCCGAATTTGGAAAATTTTTGTTATCTATTTCATATTTAGTACAGCATTTATGAGTTTTTGATTAAGAAACTCAATGATTTCAAAGTGAGAAATGGCAACATAGTATGGGGAAAAAAAAAAAAAATTTAACTCCAGCATGCGAGACTGTGTATCGGAAATTCTAAAGCTATGCACTTTAAAAATTATTTTGTGATATTGCTGTTGAATTGAATTTTATAGTTCAAGTGCAAGGAACATGATATTTAATAAATAAAAGTAACACATAAAACATTAAAAACATGCCCCTTTGGGCGTAATATAAAAACTGAAAGCTTTCGAATTTTTTTCTTGTATTTTTATTTTCTTACTTTTTTTACAATGCTTGGCAACATTTAAAAATCTTTTGAGTTTTATGGCAGGACATCTGGAAGTTTTGGATGCTTTGAAATGATAGTTTTCTGACAGAATTTATAATTTATTAAATTTCCTTTTTTTAAAAATTAATATTTAGCCAAGGTTGATTTTTGGTAATTTTTGATTGAGCTGATTTTTAAGTTTATTTTTAATTATATTATTAAATTTGTATTGTTTTGATTTTGAATGAAAAACTATCAATCTGTAATTAGTTTCACTTTTTATTTTTAATTATTTTTTTTAATAAAAAATTTTTTTCATGGGAAAATTATATTGTTAATAGATTAGATTCCAGAATTAATTGATCATGTCTTCAGAAGTTATCATTAAGAAGTGTAATGATTAAATTAATATTTTAAAGCATTAAAAGATTTGATATCATTATTTGTTTTTAGTTTTACAAAGTACTCATTTTGGGTGAAGTAAATAGAAGAAACCAGGATACTTTAAAATACTAACAAATAGTTATATTTTGGATATCAATTAACTTTTGAGTGTCAAATAACTGCATAATACAGTCAAAAGTCGTTAATCCGGACTCGTCGGGACTTCGGCGATTCCGGATTATCGATTTTTCCGGATTATAGATCATCAGTTTAAATCTGGTAAAATGGCATGAAGAAATTATAAAATTAAAAATATGAAACCGTAATTTACGAAATAAAGAACAATTATGATCTAAAGTGTATCAAAATTTACAAAAAAAAAAAAAAAAAAAAAAAAAAAAAAAAAAAAAAAAAAAAAAAAAAAAAAAGCTTAATATTTATTTGTTTACTTTATTAAACATTTCTTTCAATGTAAGTTGTTTAAGTTGCTTCGTTTTTTATGTGATAATAAATTGTCTTTAATTCTATAAACATACATAATTTCTTGTTCAGTTACAAAGTTCCGCTGTTCAAGTCCTATAATTGCTGTGTCGAGAATACCGACTAATTTGTCAATCGAAATTTTTTCGTTTTCAATAACCTCTGTCACTTTCTTCGCTATCGGAAGCGAATTATAATGACGAGGCATTTGATTTAAATCATATCAAAGACGGAGTATATCGAAATGAATACTACATTTAGTAAGCAATTATAAGCCAAATAAAATAAAAACATCTGCCCTGAAGATAAGGATAGTGCTGACAGATCAACTTCCAATTCATCGCGCGCCCGCCGCGGCGTTAAAGATAAACAAAGTTTAGATAAACAAACGTTAAAGTTTAGATAAACAAAGGATATGCCTTTATCCATTTTTTACAGCAATTCCACTTTTTGTTTAATGGACTCCGAAACATACTTTCGCTTTGTAGATCCGTTACATATTAGTAAATATAAATCGGAAATTCTATTTGACATAATCGAAAGTTCAAGCTTACTTTTATGAAATTGCTCTAACAGTCTGCAAAAAATAATAAGCCGGATCAAATTCGAAGATTAAGGAATAACGCAATCTGCAACATTAACTGAAATAGATAATTAGAGCTTAGCTTATACCGTCCGTTATACATTAAACGCGCATTCGTAAGCGTATTTTGCGCACGCGCACACGCAAATTCGCAGCCGTAAAGGTCTTACGCGCATGCGTCAGCGCAGAAAGTTTGTAGTTTTGAGGTCCGGATTATAGATTATTCCGGATTATGGGTGTCCGAATTAACAACTTTTGACTGTAATATTTTGCATTGGAAAAAGCAAATGAAGTAAAATGTTTTCTATTTATAAATTGTTTTTAATGTATAATTTTGTATACATCACTGCAAACAGACATTTTTATGAAATAACTGTTTTTAATAATACTTTTAATGTTTTTTAGGGTGTTTTATATTTCAATTCCTTCTCCTTTCATTTTTAATTGGTATTCCACTGCTATATATGCAGATGGCATTAGGACAATATTTAGGTGCTGGAATGCTAGATATGTGGTATATTTCTCCTGCATTTAAAGGTATGTTTGTTTTTCTAAATGATATTTTTTAGTTGCTAGTATTTACATTTTTTCTTCATTTGTAAATAATTTCTTTGGGAAAAATATATTTCAGGGTCCCCCTTGGTGAAAATTGACATTTTTTTTTGACGGCATTCCTGTTTATGTGCAATGCCTGCCCAAGTAAAATGGCATCCAAAACATAATGCAATAAAACGTAAAAAAAATTAGAATCTCAATAAACTGCATTTTAAATCAAATTAGAACAAGGAAATAACATAAAAATTTAAATACATGCTATAAAATCTCCATGGTACCAAAAGGAAATATTTACGTTATTTAGAAATTTCTGTGTTTTTGGTGTGTGGCACATAGACTTCCTTAACAGCATCCAAAAACTGTTTAAAATTATCTGAACTAGAATCTTTATACTGCCCTCACCACATAAATTCACAAAAGTAAGAATAAAAAATATTCTCCAGTGCCAGACTGTCGGTGGCATTTCTTTCGAAGACATGCCATTGAATAACATCCAACAAAGTTTTGTACTGATGCTTCATGTTAATTTTACCACCGGCAGCCATTTTACAATGTGAGCCACAAAATAAGCAACATACTTCCTAACCGACATCTACAGCAGAAAAAAGAATAAAATATTCTGAGAAACATTCTCCCAACAATCAAAATCAGCATGATCATGCACTACAACCAGTCCACTTTATGATATTTTCCAACCAGTCTCGTCAAGATAGAGTTTCCAAAACATACACTGTAAAATACTCATGTTATCATAAATGAAAAAACAACTTGGTGATAATCCAAGGCAGGGGCGTAGCTAAAGGAGGGCATCTGTCCCCGGGCGCAGAATCGAAGGGGCGCCAAACTGATGTTACGACATTTTAGAATTAAATGTTTTCCATCCTTGGCAAGCAGTAAGGGGCACGAAATCTTCAGTTGTCTCTGGGCGCTGAAAACCCTAGCTACGATTCTGATCCAAGGGGTACCTCAAAATATGGACTGCCCATTTCTTTAAATTTATACTGACTTTTTTTTTTTTTTTTTTTTTTTGCTTCGAAATATTTAATTATTTATTTGCTTAAAATATTTTTTCCCAATTATCAAAAAATTTCCTTCATTATTTCTTTCAATTTCCAGAGAAGTAAATGTTAAATTGATAATATAGTAATTGGAAAGGGGCTGAAAAATTCAGTTAACATTTCTAAAATTTTTGCTATGCTTACTGTCAATCTTTTAAGATGCCAAATGGATTTATCTGAAAAAAAAATTGCTTGATTGCCTTAAATGTCTGTTTATAATGCAGATATGTTCTAAGATATACATATTTATGCAGTGATTTGAATTGTGTTTTTGATTATAAATTTGTTGCAGTGTATCATAATTATTTTATGTACAGGGTTTATATGGTCCTTTAAAAATACTTAAAAGGCCTTAGTTTTTTTAGAAATGGTTTTTTGGTCCTTAAAAGTCCTTTACTCATTTGACTTTTTTTTTTTTTTTTTTTTTTTTTTTTTTTGACTGTGAATTACCAGTTTGGCAGAATATTTTTGGTTATGCATTGACTAATATGTGTTTAAATTCTTTCCATCTTTATAATGTAAACAGTGGATAGTTGAATTTAGGTACGAGGCCCTACCTGTAATGAAATACCGTATTTATGCGAATCTAATGCGCCATCGAATCTAATGCGCATCCCCATTTTAAAACTTTAAATAATAAAAAAATTGTTTGTCGGCGAATGTAATGCGCATCAATGGTATGAGGAATTTATTGAATCTTATTTTATACAACAATGGATTTGTATATAAACTATCAATCAATGGTATGATAATTTTATTTAAATTTAGATACCATATTTTATACAACAATGGATTTATACATAAAGTAACCAGAACATAGAATTAACCTATTAGTGGGCTATTGTTATGTGAAACACAATCATTGTTAATTACCACTACCGTATATACGGTACATATCGTAAAGTATGAACATGAAATAAATGGTAACATTTCTATCTAGCTAAACAGTTTCTATAATCAATGATTAATAGTAAACGTCTTTATTCACTATTTTGATGATAACTTTTTTAGTCCCTTCTCCGTAATGGTGTTGTTGTAGTTACGGCATATCAAACCAAATTGGCGTCTCGTCAGCGTTGCCAATTTGCCCCATTGAAAAATTCTTTTCCTTCCGAAGTGTGATGACATACCGCTAAAATGTTAGTAGTTTTCCCTCAAAATGCTGGAAGCTTTTGGCAATATGTTGTTTTACGGCGTCTTAGAAATAAGCCCATTCGCTCCATAAACCGATCCATCCATCAACGGCTAGTTTTAAACTCTCGTTTCGGTATTTCCAAGAACTTCAGCCTCCTCATTTGCTTTATTCTTATAGTGTCGCTAGTCACAGGTTGTCCATTCTTCCTCCTTTCACGTACAAATTCCAAAACTTTTTCTTCAATTTTAGGGTGTCTTCCTTTGCGAGGGCCAGTGAATGAATTTCTTTCTACTAGTTTTAGTTGCAAACAGTGCCAATTTCTGTTGCCGCCACAAGCGAACATTGCTCTCAGCTACGTTGAACTCTCTCCCAGCCTTTCTATTGCCATTTCTTTCAGGATAAAGAATTACTTTACGTTTGAAAGTAGCGTCATATGACATTCTTCTCAGCTTGTTCTCCATCTCGTGACTACGTACTCTGCAGTTTGTATCCTCTATGCAATAATGTGTCAACGATAAATGTAACGGTAAATGTAGTCGAGAAATACAGTAATCATCTAATGCGCACCCCAATTTTGAGTACTACATTTGGCCAAAAACGATGCGCATTAGATTCGCGTAAATACGGTATAAACTTTTTGAAATAACTTCATTTTTGCGAATGAAGAGTTCATAAAATATTTCATCAAAAACAACTTTTCCTTTTTTGGGATGTGAGTTTTTTTATTAAGCATTGCTAAATTTTGTGACTTATCAGCTTTTTGTCAATTTAAAGATCAGTTTGTGTGCAAACCTTTTTATTTGGAGATTTGCAGAATTTTTGACAGTTTTTTTACAAGCATAATAATGTTTATAAATATCCTAAAAATGATGATAATATATTTAATTTATATTTTAAGCAGTCACATTTAAATAAAACATTTTTATTTTCTCCTGCCATATTTAAAAATGATATTACTTTATATTTTGGTGATTTAGCAATGTTTTGATTTTGAAAAATAAACTAGATTATAAATGTTATAGCAGTTTCTGAAACACTTTGTAGAGTGAAACAAAAAAGCTACTGTAATTATATTAAAAGTGTGTTAAATTAAAATTAAATGTGAAAAATTTTCAAATTAAAAACACACATAAACATTTTGTTGTTTGTTGTTGTTACAAAAAATAAATATTTCGTAGCATTATGCAGTTTAATTTTTTTGGAACTAACTGCTCACTCTTAGAAGTTATCTCTAGATGTTAAGGTGAGTTATTGCTTTTCCATAATCCTTATTGTGGATGCAAGATACAACACAGAAATGTAAAAATTAAAGTAAAACTTTATTCCTTACAGCAGATGACACTTAAATAATACAAAGCAACCTATCATCCCTGCAGTTTCAGCATCTTATAAGAACTTTATATTAAATACTGTATATTAACTGGGTTACAACTCCAGCAAATCTATACGAAGCTGCAACACTAATTGGACCAGACAGCTAACTTCTAGCACTTATTAATTGTACCAATGTCTGGTGTTCACATCTGTTCTGTTTATATGTGTTTTTAATTTGAAAATTTTTCACATTTAATTTTAATTTAATTCAATTTTAATTTCTCTGTCTCTAAGCAAGCAGCTGTGGTGGCAACAGATGAGCTTCTGTTATAATCATGATGATTATTATTTTATTTCAGAATTTAACTTATGCCAGTTGATATGAAATTTGCATAGACCTCTGGACTGAGCGGGTACGTTACAAAATGAGGCATAAGAAAAAGGTCACTAATCTCCTTTAAAATATGTGGGACTTTTATAAGCATAAAATATAAATGTTTCATGAAATTTTATAATTTGTTACTTGAAAAAAATTATGAAGTCAATTTTAGTTTTGAATTTGTTTTATAATTAAATTAGATATTAGATCATGTTTAATAATTATGCATTCTACTCACAGAGTTATTTTATTTTTACAAATTACAAAAGTAACATTACGAAGGTGGTATTTCAAAAGTGAAGTTTGAGTGTAGATAATTGCCTTAGTGTATTCAGTTTCTATTTGCATGATAGGTCCTTATTTTTTTCATTGGTGGCTCTTAAAAATCTTTAAAAGTACTTAATTTCCACCTGGAAAAATATGTACGAGCCCTTCATGTAAAAAGTTTTTAAATTCAATTGAAAATTTGAAAGAAATGAATTACAGTCAAAAGTCGTTAATTTGGACACCCATAATCCGGACCTCAAACCTCAAAGCTACAAATTTTCTGCGCATGCCTCGCGTTGACGCATGCGCATAAGACCTTTACGGCCGCGAATATGCTTGTGCGCGTGTGCAAAATACGTTTACGAGTGCACGTTTAATGTATAACGGACGGTATAAGCTAAGCTAAAATTATCTAATTATCTATTTCAGTTAATGTTGCAGATTGCGTTGTTCCTTAATCTTTGAATTGGATCCGGCTTATTATTTTTTGCAGACTGTTAGAGCAATTTTATAAAAGTAAGCTTGAACTTTCGATTATGTCAAATAGAATTTCTGACATATATTTATTAATATGTAAAAGATCTACAAAGCGAAAGTATGTTTCATTAAACAAAAAGTGGAATTGCTGAAAAAAAATGGATAAAGGCATATACTTTGTTTATCTAAACTTTAACGTTTGTTTATCTAAACTTTGTTTATCTTTAACGCCTGCACAGTGAATTGGAAGTTGATCTGTCAGAACTATCCTTATCTTCAGGGCAGATGTTTTTATTTTATTTGGCTTATAATTCCTTACTAAATGTAGTATTTCATCTCGATGTACTCCGTC